AACATATGGACATCCGACCCATCCAAGCCTCTGTCTTGGACACCAACAGTTAACAGAGCTGCAGCCCTGAACTCCTCCCTCCGTGGGGCTCTCCAAGGTCTTACCCATCCCTGCTGCTCCCTAAGATCTTTTAAACTGGAAATGTCAGGGTGGATACTGGGGCCTTCTGCGTTCAAAGCATGAGCACTCCCATTAGGCTATGGCCCTCCTTCTGTGGTGGGGGCCAAGTAGCAAGTTCTTTCCACCAGATCCGTAGATGCACATGAAAGGCATCTTTCAGAGGTCTGTCTGCTCACTTCCCTGAAATGCAGGTCTTTAAATTGCCCAAGATCAACATGTGGCTCCAAAGCTTTAGATGGTTTGCACATGCATTTTTTTGGCATTTTCCACACATGTGACTTGAATTCAATCTACACCTATAATGGCTAGCACGTGTATTAAAAACATCTTGTCTTCTACTTCCTACCATATATTAACAACATTCCTACATGTATACTTAGAGCATGAAAGTCTCAAAAGTACTTGGAGCGTCATGTGCTAAAACGACTTCAAAAATTCTCTTTACTCTGCCCATGAAAGGTGCTGGCATAACTCAAAAGCCTGCATATGATAGAGAGTATTTGGAAATATAGTAACATAATTGCAGGGGTGGGGGGGGGAGTCCAGTAAGGCACCCTGTCTCGCAGCTAGTAAAAACTGCATTAAACTTTTAGTTGCACCTACAAGTTGCCCAAAGTATAAGTAAGACATACTTCAGGCTGCGGTCCTTCGTACATTTACATGGGAATAAAATAAACTCTACTGAAATCAGTAGGGCTTACTTCCAAGTAGACATGCATAGAGTTGAATTACAGGAGCTGCTTTCTATACGTTGTACAATGTCTCTTAAATCAGCCTGCACTGCTGCTCAGCCACTAGTAATGTAGTAGTTGTGATTCCTCATGAGTTATAGCTTATCCCACACTTATACAGGCGGTCCCCGCTTATGAATGAGTTCTGTTCCTGAGAAAATGGAAATTTGTCTTTAAGTCAAATCTGTATGTAAATCCGATCACATATACTTGACCCTCCCACTTTTCAGGGATCAGGGGTACAGGACTCCAGTGAAAGTGGGAAAAGCCCCCTTTAAGCCCCCCCCCCCAAACTCACCAGTGCCTCCTCTTTGCAGCAAGAAAATGAGGAGAAATTTCCCTCTCTGGATGGGCAGCCTTTGAAGGCCTCCCTCTTTCACCTTTCGCATCCTTTCTCTCTATAGTAATGACAATTTTCTGTGGTATTTAAAAAAAGATGGCTTTATGGCAGTTCATTTGTAAGTATGGGTTATTCATAACTTGGATGTCCGTAACGTAGGGACTGCCTGTAACCGAAACTTTTGAATGAGGTTGGCAGTGACCCACTCAGTACATGTGGACCTGCAATCTAGACAGTGGAGGCATGTACCCAGGTTTGCTTTGCTACAAGTTGGCCTGCATCAAATCAGCCCAAGGTATCTCTTTTCAATTCTTTTATTTATGGCACAATCCAACCCAGAGGATTATGAACTCAGAAAATTATGGGCATCCATTCAACATTATAATAAAGGAGATCCCACAAGCCTGAAATCTGCCCCCTTTTGATGTATAGGATTGCAATAAGAGCAGCCCAGTCCAGCATACTCCTCCTGTGCTGGTTCCTTGTAAATCAGAGGGTGGGAGTAAGGAACAAAAATGCCAAGTTAATTAGAAGAACTAATCCCAAACTTGGGTTGCAGAATCCAATGTGCAAACTGGATGGTTTCCCAGAAAGAAGAACTCTGCTTGGCTTTGCAAAATGTAATTGGAGTGTCGCATTGGGTTAGAGCCACTTCCATGAAAGTCCATAATGTACATGATTGGATGCTTCCACTGAATCAGGAACGGGGGGGGGGCAGGGTGCTCCGTCAGTGACACAGAAGCTCTAGCACATGATGGGCGGGGGCAGTGGGGCCCCTGTGTGGCAATGTGCCCCACAGGGATTCCCCTCTTGGCCTCAGAAGCCAGGTCCTTCTGGCTTTTAAAGCCAGCAAGATTACATCAATTATCCCTGCTTCTTTTCCTCCTTCCCTCCCATCCCCCTGCTGCCATCAGAATCCCTTGGTGGTGAACACAGCACCAAGGGGGGTGTTAATCCTGCCCACCTGCTTGTGCCCCTGCCCAGCTAGCAGCAGGTTAGCACTAGTCACCGAATAACAAAGTAGGCGCCAGAGAAATCTTGCTGAACAGCCAATTAGGAGCCCTGACCGATCTCGGTGGGTACTAGGATCTGCAAAGTAAGGTGACAAAGTTCTCTGAAGAATGCATGGTGGTAGTTAAAGAGGACAGCGCTGACCAGGAAATTCCAGTTGACACCAGCCAGTTAGTGGCAATTCAGAACACAATGGATGGGTCAAATAAATAAAAGTTTGGGGGGAATCTTCAGCATTCCTGTCTCCATCTCCTTCAAACCCCTGGGAGAAGGAGGTCCATATTAGGACATCTTACAGCCATTGTTAAGAAGAATGTTGTGGAAAAAGAAGGGAATCTCAAACTGTCATAGTCTGGATCAGTAAATATGTGTTGCAAGGCTGCAAAATCTTGAAATACAGAGCAATGCCCCAACAACAAAACTCCTTCCGCAACTCTATATGCTCTTGTTCACAGACTCTTCACCCTTTCCTTTTAGCAGTAACAGGAATCCATCAGAAAAGTGTCACACAGATAGATTTTCACAAAATTTGCTGTGCAGAAAAGGAGAATGGGAAGGATCCAGCAATAATACACACTAGAATTAATGGTGGTGGGCCCACAACTTCCACATAATTTACCCCTTTGGGCCTGCGTGCCAGTTACACATGTATATTCTTACTGGGAAGTGACTGGGAACAGTCATATGAACCCCATGCTGAGGTTTAATACTGTGCAAAGATAAGTGAGCCTTGTCCTAGTCTACACTCTCAAGCTGTATCCCCTTTTATTAGCTCCATATCATGATGCTTCATTCATTAGGGTGATGTGTCTCCCACCTCAGTCACTGCAATTTTGTTGATCCCCAGACATTGTGAAATGGACAAACTTATTTCTCTCTCCACCTGGCCCATGAGCCATGGCAACCAGGCTTGTATTGAGCTGAATTGGAGGACCAATAGCAAATATATTTTATGAACTGTATATCCCTAAATATTAGCTAGCATTGATTGAGCACTGATTCCTGTAAAACAAGGATGCTGCTTCTGGTATGAAGCTGGGTGGAGATATCCCCTGAGATCGGCGGGAGAGGCCCTTCTCCGGGAGCCCTCCGTGAGAGAAATTAGGAGGGTGGCTACTCGGAGAAGGGCTTTCTCAGCGGTGGCGCCTAAGTTATGGAATGCGCTCCCCAGAGAGGTCCGCCTGGCGCCGTCGTTGTTTTTCGGCGCCAGGCAAAGACCTTTTTATTTAAGCAACATTTTAAATGCTAATACAACTGAATTTTATCTGGCCAGGGCGGCTTATTTTATAATGTGTGTTTTAAATTATGATCATTTTATATGGATATTTTAACTTATTGTTTTATCTAGTGTTGTAAGCCGCCCCGAGGCTTCGGCGAATGGGGCGGCATAAAAATGTTTAAATAAATAAATAAATAAAATATGGAATATGTATGGCAGGGGATACAATGGCCCTTAAGGAAAGTTTCAAATTAGAAGGACAAGGGTGGCAGATGGAAGAAAAATTCTATAGGGCAGTGTTGGGACCTCAGATTATGATGGATCACAATGCTTATCATCCCCAGTTAGCACAGCCAGTTGGTGGGGGGGGGGACAGAAGCTGTAATCCAACGTCATCTGGGGACATGAGTATAGAAAGACTGTTATAGGGCCTCTGTGATACACTTAACAGTGGCCAGCAAAATGGTTGTGTAGTGTAGACAGGATGAGCTTAGTTTAGGAAGACTCTGTCATTCTGGGAATAGGAACAAGGCAGTTCTGGCTCCTGCGTTCTGAGGGCCCTTGCATAAGACATGCTCAATGGCCCTCTTTCCTCAACAAATCTACCTTCCCACCACCACTCTCACTACAAAACTGCTCTTGCTCCTCATCTTCTTTCTCGTTATCAGTAGTGCGTGCTTGGAAAAGAGCAAGTAGGCAGAAGCATGTACTGCTCCTCTTCCCCCACCCTGGCTGTCCAGATCTCACCAAGCTGCAATAGTGAGGAAGAGGACTGAGTACAGGGGCTCCTGTCTGGGGGCTCCTGCAGGAGTGGGTCCTTGGCAGGTTCCCAACCATGCCTGCACCTGATCCAAATCCTGGGGCAAGGACTAGAACATGTGCAGAATGCATTTTACCCATCACTGATTACCCATAAGCCAAGTATCAGGGAATCAGACATTCCAGGATAGACAATTTGGGCTGTATTAACACTTTTATTAGAAACTAATCACTAATAAATGCTTGAATTTCAGTGATGAAACTCTATTTTTGTTGGCAAAAGCCTTAGATTACTGTGGTGTAAGTTGGAACTTCTTTGAATGAACAGTAGAATTTTGTTACATTTAGCAACTTTTGAGAAAAAAAAAACCCCTCTATTGCAATGTGACTGCTTTTGGGGGAAAGAGAATGCAGGGTATCTTGGATCACCTATTTATTTTTGTTTTTCATGGCAACAGAACTAAGAGAATGGAAAGAAGGCAAATGTGTTCAGAGCAAGCCTAGGGAAAAAGGACTGACGTGCCACACATTCAGCGTTCATCAAGACGTCGGCTGGCTGAGGCAAAGGACAAGATGACACCCCTCCCATTTCAAGTACAAAAGCTAACTGGGCTAGTTGTATCTTTCTTCAACATGAAAATGAGACAGAAACCGCCACTGCTCCTGAAGGTAGCCGGCTAGCTTAGGATATGCAGAGAGGTTCATGGCTCACACCTCTCTCCTCCAACACCTTGCTGCCACCTCCTGGAATTTGCTGCCTGAGGCAACTGCCTTACTCTACCTCCTGGAAGGGCTGGCCCTGTGCTTGCTCATGACTCACCGGCAATGAGATGTCCCTCTCATCCCGAAACTCAGGCAGGGTCTCCAGGCAGAAAATCACAATAGAGATGAGAATGACCAACACTGAGATGATGGCAATGATGCGGGCAGCCTGGGAAGTCTCTGGGTGTTCAAAGAGCAGCCAGATCTGTTTGAGGAACTCACTGTCAGGCATTGCCGGTACTTCCTCTTTAATGAAGCCCTCATCGTCGCGGAATTTGGAGAGAGCCTCCTCTCCCAGCTGGTAGAACTTGAGTTCCTCCAGGAAAACATCAATGGGGACGTTGGTAGGCCGTCGGAGCCGCCCTCCGGATTGGTAATAATACAGGATGGAGTCAAAGCAGGGCCGGTTGCGGTCAAAGAAGTATTCGTTGCGCATTGGATCGTAGTAGTGGAGCCGTCGTCGCGGGTCGCCCAGTAGGGTGTCAGGGAACTGCCGCAAAGTCTTCACTTGAGTCTCGAAGCGTAAGCCTGAAACGTTGATCACCACTCGCTCACAACAGTCTTTGTGGGAATGCGTTCTGTGATGGACAATGGGTTCATTGTCCCCTGATGTCAGGGGCAACAGCTTCTCCATGGCAGGGCTGGCAGCTACAAGAATCCAGGGATGAGGTATGGAGCCATGATTCAAACTTCACTCCACCCCTGAGGCCCTCTCCCTCTCCGGAGAATGGCTTCTGACTTCCCAAGTTGTCCGTTCAGCTATTCACTGCTGTACGTTTTCCAATATCAGCCCACTCACACAGTCACCAGTATCTCAGCTGGCATCTTCTCTTGCTTCCTTTCTGCCCCTCTAGCTCCCCTTCCTCTCCTTTTACTGTTTCAGTCCCAACTTCAAACATATCTCGTCTAGCTTCTGGATTAATTCGCTGTCTTCCTCTGCTTCTGAGCCCTTCCCTTCTTCACATCATCTCTTTTCCTCCTTGGCATGAACGTGTTCTCTTAAAGCCAGTCTTCTGCCAGTAACCCCCGCGTGCCATCTTCCCTAATCCATTTCCCTTGCTCCACTGCATTCAGGGTTGCTTTGATTTTTCTAACGGGGTTAGACCCACCATCTAGACCCCCTCCCTCACTGCCCTTCTCTATGTCCCCTTTCTGAGAACACCCCTGCCTTGCAGTGCCAGCGTCCAAGGTTTCTGCCTGTAAACACTTTCCCCAGACCTAGAGGTATCAGGTTGCCCCAGGACGGTACAGACTCTTGGCCCTCTTGCCAAAATCCCAGCCCCGCCCCCAGACCATGCCTAAAAGCAATCCCAGCAGTACTCTGACTGGAGGAAGGGAGAGCTATAAATAACTGGAATGGTGGTGACATAGGGGCAGGCAGAGTGCCTGGGGCAGAGAAGGGGGCGGGGGGGCAGGGCACTTTCAGGATGGTACAGAGGACTGCCAGCCGAACTTCTTGCACTCTCTGGAAAGAGAGTGGAGCGTGAGCCAGGACACCTGGGTCTGTGTGGGAAGAAAGGGAAGCTTCACAAAGCGAGGCACAGGCTGGGAGTCAGGACGTGAGGGCAGTACTGAGCCCTGGATCAGAGGCCAAGGAGATGCCACACTAAACCATATTTAGGGCCCCCGACTTCTCTGAAACCTCAGGAGCCTTCTCTCTTAGCTGTCAATATTCACACTGTGAGGTGGGCACAGAAAGCCCAGACACAAGGACAAATGCCTCCTCCGTGTGACGTTTAAGCATCTTGTAAGCTTCTCCATGATCCTCCCCCCATCCAATCTCTTTGCCTGGTTTTCTCTCCCTCATTCCTCTTACCCCCAAAGGTGAAGCTTATTACACTTCCATTCCTGTGTCTTTATTTTCTCATCCCTGTACTTTTTCTCTTGCATGGATGTGAGGTGACCACCCAGAAGGTATGTATTACCAAAACCTGCAGGATGGGGATGCTGCAGCACTTATGTCTGCCTTGTGAGCTCCCCACAGGCGACTGGTTGGCAATGTGCGAACAGATGCCGGGCCACGTGGGCCTGCAGCTGATTCAGCAGGGCCCTTCTTATGTTTTCAGAAAAGGGGGGACTGATTTGCATGCAGTTTGCATATGCTGCTTTTTGTGCATAGACTCAAACTGACATACAATTAGTATAATTTTAATAGATATGCAATACATCCCCCCTCGGTGGAGAAGACTATTCCTGGGTGACATATGTGCCTGCCCAGTCTGCTGTTCAGGCCTTGATGGCCCCTGGCTGTTTTCTCTTCTTATGGTTCTGTATCTTAAAACTAGATTCCAACTAGATGGCCCCTTAAGCAGAGATGCTTAAATAAATAAAGGACTGTCTTCTGGAAGTTGTCCACTGGCAGCCCTTCAGAGAGAGGACTATCCTGGGTAGAGTAGTTCTCTCCTTCTCTCCCTCTGTAGGATCTAAAGAAAGAGAAAGTTTGCAGGGTGACCGTGTCACTTACTTTATCGTTTAGAAATTGGCTGAACTCCTTTTTGGATGAAAAAGGCATTGTGAGCAATTCCAAGTTTATTTCCTTAATAGATTTTCTGTATTAGGAAACAGAAAATGAAATAAGTGCTTGGAAAACGCGGGAGGGTTAGAAGTGACAGATGATGGTGACTGCTTTTCCTGACCTGCTAAAATTAAATAAAATCTATGAATGGGGCACAATGATGCCATGATAAAAGCCTTGTCCAGAAGTATCCCTAGTCCTGCTTTTTTTAATTAAATTTTTGAAAGTAACAATGAACAGTAACAAATTTAAGTATACATGTGAGTCAATTTCTTTCTGAGTACTCAGACTTTCTACTTGTTACACCCACAACTATCTCTTAAACTTTTCACTCATTCTTATAGATCATGTTTTGTGTACCTTAGAAGGCTATCATGTTTTTTTTTTCTCAGAACTGACAAATTCAACAAATAAATAAAATAGTGCATTAAAGTGTTGATTTCTACTTGTCCTCTTTCCACCTGAAGATGGTTAATGAGTTTTATTAATGCAAGGTCCCATTTTCTGTTTGTTTCCATATAGTAAAAGAAAGATGGCTTGCTGATTTCCAGTTAGCACCTAGGATAAACCTTGGGTACTATTCAGAAAAAAAGTCAAGAGTTCTTTATGTCTTACTTCTCTATTAATAATCCCAGTTTTGCTGATAGAGTTATATTTTGTTGTGTGACCTTACTGCTGAAGGCAAAGACTGGAACCCAGAACTGGTCGGTGGCCATTCTCTGTTTGAAGAGCTATCTGGCCCAATACGGGTATATGCCCTGGTTGCTCCACACCCCCAACAGGTAACAAAAGTGTTAAACTAACTGTGTTTTGGCAGTGTAACATACCATTCGTGCCTCATCTTCAATAGTTCTGCTCTAAGAACTGACTGCAAATGCAACGTTTGCCTTTCCTTGTATTATAGGTGATTTCTTTGATAACTCTCTATTCCCCTGGTATATACCCCTAATGGTATATTAAGGGTGGGGAGACAGACTTCCAGATGTTGCCGGATTACTATTCTATCATTCTTGACCATTGGCCAGTCTTAGTGAGGTTTATGAGAGCTGGAGCCCAACAAGAGGTTTCCCATCCCTGCTGCAGAAATGTTATCGTAACTCCCTCTTTCATCCCGTTTGCTTCTCGCTCGGTAATTGAGAAGTCATCCCTCTCCCTCCAAGGTGTTCTTCTCCTTTTATGATGTGTTTGTAGACTGTCAGCCTGCAGGCAGGGATGTGTTCATTCAGCTCATGTACATTGCCTGATATATGTTTAGGTACTTTCATATACAATATGAGGTGGTGATGATGGACACCTCAAACATTGTGCTCCTCACACCAACCCGTTACCAATATCTGAGTGTTTCTCTAGCAACCTGGCTGCTTTTCCAGTTTGTGAAAGACAAAGCCATGTATTCTGAGCTGCAGGGAACATCAAAGCAGCAAGAAAAACGTTAAGGAACTTGGTACTTTTCAAAATTTTTAGCTTCAAGAAATCTGTTCCTGGTCTACTTACCTAAAAAGAAACCCAGCATATCAGTGAAAATGCTCTGTATTTTCAGTCTGGCTTGTTTTGCTGTTTCATGCTTTCTATCCCATACCCATCCTAGCCTTGGGTCTCTCTCTCTCTCTCTGCTTTGGCCCATCTCCTCTAAGAAGAACAGAGCACGAAGGGACGAATTATAATTAGGTAACTTTAGACTTGGACTTATGCCCCTTCCCTATATGGTAATGTGTATTGCTTCACTTGTTCCAAAATGTTGTAAGCCAGTCTAACTGCACTTGCGGGGCCTCCCACTCATTCTGCTGAGTGGGGCCCTGGACCTTTGGCCCAAAGCCCTGCCGCTGATAGCACCACTGCAGGAAAAGACTCTCTGTCCTCCATGGCAGCATTCTTCAACCTTGTGCCTTCCAGACTCCAACCCTCAGAATTCCTACTCAATGGCTCTGCTGGATGGGAATTCTGGAAGTTGCAGTCCAAATGCCTCTGAAGGCCACCAGTTGGGGAAGCCTGCTGGCCCTTCTTAGCCCTCCAGTTTGATATTATGCGGAGGGTTTGTTAGTCACATTCACATTTGTCTAAAAATCAAAACAGCATAAGAGTGCCAAATAAATCTGCTATAGAATTTATTTATCATATAACAGATTCCAGGCTATAGTCTCAGATAAATGGCCAACTCAGGGATATTGAGCCTCAGTAGGAAACTGAGAATTCATCTAGAATAGGTGCACTTTTCAAGAAAAGATTGCCAGCAGTGCATGAACTACCTTTATGGGAAACGTATCTACCATATTCTCATTCAGCCTTCCCTAATTTGTTGCCCTCCAGATGCATTGGGTTGCAATTTTGATCATAATGATGGAAATAGTAGTCCAACTAGGGGTGGGCGTACAAGCCAAACTCTCCAAATTCCACCCAGAGGCTTGTCCGGTCTCATGTCCATAACAGATTGTGACCTTCATTTTTTCTTTTCACATGAAAAGCTGTGCAATTTTCCATGTGTACTTTTCTAGATGTACACATCAATTGTGTACATCTTTGAAAAGTAAGCAGTCTTCTTTCATTGGTTCAAGTGTGTTTGTGCACATTTTTCAAAAGCATGCAATCTTCTCAGTTACTTTTTTTAAATGTACAAATGCTGTTGAACACACTTAAAAACAAAAATCTGCAAAGAACATTGCACAATTCCACTGCAGATTGTGCTGATTTTATGTTTGGTCTGGAAGGTGTGAACTAAGTAAATACTGATCAAAAATGAATTGAAACACATTTTTTATAAATCCCTAAATCCAACACACCTTTAGGGCATCAGAATGGGAAAGGCTAATTGTACTTAATTGAAGAACCTGAGAAGCATCTGAAGATGCTCAGGGTTGCCTGCTGGAACACAGTATGAAAACAACTGTTCCAGTTAATTATATAATAAGAGGAGCAGTAATCAGCAGCATACTTACAATTATTATTCTAGCCTTCATGGTATTTGTTGCTTTAAGAAAAAACCTGAGAGGCATTATACAGGAACCAGGTTGCAAGAGGATACATGAGAACAGACCTGTGGAATGGGATTTAAAGGACACTGTATGCAAAACAATGTATCCTAAATACTTGCAGGCTAATATGTTCAAACTATCACATTTAGT